TTCTCTAAGAAGATGTACTGGAAGTTCCTCCCACTCCTACCCCACCACCATTCTGGGTTAAGTGTCCTTTGTACTTGTGCTTGGCTCTTGTTACATGTCCCATGGTGCAGCGCTTGCCATACTGTGTTGCCTTCTCCCAGCCTTTCTGCATCAGAGGCCTCTGTGAGAACCTGCTAAAAGCTGTAGATCTTCCCTCCAGAAAAAGAGCTCACGATAAATTTTGCAATTTCAGAGGTTTTATAGGAGCCCTAAAACCCTCTAGGTTCCCACGGACTCCAGATGAAGAAGCCCTACTCTATTACAATTATCTGCCCATTTGTTTATATTTCCTGTATGCCCCTTGAGGGGAGGGGCCATGTCTGTGTTAATATAGGCATTTCCTAAGCACCTAGCCCAGCCCCTAAACACAAAAGACACTCAATAAGCATTTGCCACAGGTAGAGCTTGCATAAGACATTAGGGTACAAGGATTATCATGTCTTCCTTTTTCTAAATCAAATTAAATCTGACTTAGCCACATCCTACATGGTTGACGAGAAATGTTAAATTAGTAATTTCCAGGCATCTCTTCTCATGAATTTTTCTAGAACTCCAGGACTCAAGTGGCTTGAGAAAATTCTGAAATGTTCCTTCTTTCTCAGCTCATTAGAGTTCTGTTTTCACTCTTCAAGGTATATTACTGCCCTGGGTGGCCTGTGAGACGGACATCACACTTGTCTCTATCCTGAGATCCTACTGCTCCCAGGAATCACGTTCAATGGGGACCCCTGTCTACGCTCCCAACAGACACCTCAAACCTCCCACTGCTTCACTATCATCAGGAAAACAACTCTTCAATTCAAAACAGCCCCCTTCATCTTATCTCTCTGGGATGTCCTGATGTGAACCCCCCCATAGGTATGACAGAGACTGAAAACTCAAATATTAATAAATGTCTCAAAAGATGAGGCAAAGGAAGCAGGTCAGCTTTGAGAGACAGTAGATGGTAGCAGCGACTGCCCCATCCTGGGGAGCACATGCTTTCTCTACAAATGAGCAGCAGCTAAAGCATCAACAAATTGTTGCTGAATTTCCATATCTTCCAATTTTTCCAGGGAAGCTGGGAATCTGGATTTTCGTGTGATAGCTCTTTTTTCTTTGTTTTTTTTAAAAATAGCTTTATTGAGGTATATTTTGCATATTCATATATTCACAGTACACAATTCAATGGGTTTTTGTTTTATTTTTAGTAAATTTACCAAGTTGTGCAACCATCACCATAAATCAGTTTTAGAACATTTTCATCAACCTAATAAGGCCCCTCATGAACATTTACTGTTAGTCCCTGTGCTGTCCTCCCTCGCCCAAACCAATCCTCAACTCAGGCAACCACCACTCTACTTTCTATGTCTGTAGCTTTACCTTTTATGGATATTCCATATAAATGGGATGATACAGTACATGGTCTCTTGTCTCTGGCTTCTTTCACTGGGCATGACATTTTCAAGGTTCATCCATGTAGTTGCCCATCTCTGGAGTTTGCTCCTTTTTGTTGCTGAATGATACTCTATTGTATGGACATATTATACCAGTTTTGTCTAACCATTCACCAGCTGATGGACATTTTGGTTGTTACCATCTTTCAGCTATTATGAATAATGCTACTATGAACATTTGTATGCAAGTCTTTTTTTATTTATTTATTTATTTATTTTTTTTTTTGAGACAGAGTCTCGCTTTGTTGCCCAGGCTAGAGTGAGTGCCGTGGCGTCAGCCTAGCTCACAGCAACCTCAATCTCCTGGGCAATCCTACTGCCTCAGCCTCCCGAGTAGCTGGGACTACAGGCATGCGCCACCATGCCCGGCTAATTTTTTATATACATATCAGTTGGCCAATTAATTTCTTTCTATTTATAGTAGAGACGGGGTCTCGCTCTTGCTCAGGCTGGTTTCGAACTCCTGACCTCGAGCAATCCGCCCGCCTCGGCCTCCCAGAGAGCTAGGATTACAGGCGTGAGCCACCGCGCCCGGCCATATTTATTTATTTTTTTTTTGAGACAGACTCTCACTTTGTTGCCCAGGCTAGAGTGAGTGCCATGGCGTCAGCCTAGCTCACAGCAACCTCAATCTCCTGGGCTCAAGCAATCCTGCTGCCTCAGCCTCCCAAGTAGCTGGGACTACAGGCATGCGCCACCATGCCCAGCTAATTTTTTTTTGTATATATATATATATATTAGTTGGCCAATTAATTTATTTCTATTTATAGTAGAGATGGGGTCTTGCTCTTGCTCAGGCTGGTTTCGAACTCCTGACCTCGAGCAATCCGCCCACCTCGGCCTCCCAGAGTGCTAGGATTACAGGCGTGAGCCACCACGCCTGGCCAGCTCTTGATTTTTAAATGTTGGAATTCATTCAAATAAAAAAAAAAATGCTGCAAATCAGTCCTGTGCACATGGAACAAAACAAGTTCATGGGCTGGAACTGCCCTGAGAGAACAAGTTTGGACTTCTGACCTAGACCCTGCAAAACAATGGTCTGTGAACTTTTTCTTTTGGGGGTAAAAGCAGCCTAGACTGCCAACAAAAATTACTGTGGAGAGAGAGGAGAAGGATTTCTCACTCTTTTGTAATAAACTTGTACACCAGAAAGAAAAACAATTTTCAATCTATTCATAATGCCACATTTTTTCCAGGAAATCATCATATTCCATCTTTGTTAATGAGTCCTTTAGGTACATATTTGTATCCCTTTTCAGAGATTAGGCTAAGTAATTTGTGAAAGGTTAAATAAACACTGAGTGATCAGCAAAGTTGGATTCAAAGCCAGGTCTATCTGGTTCTAAATCTTGTGTTTTCATCTTCAAAATGGCAGCAAATTCAGGAATAGAGCTACATGAGTGAAACTGAAGTCAGAGGAGCTGGTCTGGGATGAGTGATACAGATATAAGGGGAGTAGGTGTGAGAAGCAAGGGAGAGGAAGGAATCAAAGAAGTTTCAAAACTGGTTTCATTAACAGACAAAGAGAAATTGGGATGAGAGAGAGTTTGAGTGATGGGAAAGTAGAGATAGAAGAAAACAGCTTTGGCTGGGCGCGGTGGCTCACGCCTCTAATCCTAGCACACTGGGAGGCCGAGGCGGGTGGATCGCTCAAGGTCAGGAGTTTGAAACCAGCCTGAGCAAGAGCAATACCCCGTCTCTACTATAAATAGAAAGAAATTAATTGGCCAACTAATATATATAGAAAAAATTAGCCAGGCATGGTGGCGCATGCCTGTAGTCCCAGCTACTTGGGAGGCTGAGGCAGAAGATCGCTTGAGCCCAGGAGTTTTAGGTTGCTGTGAGCTAGGCTGACGCCATGGCACTCACTCTAGCCTGGGCAACAAAGTGAGACTCTGTCTCAAAAAAAAACAGCTTTGGAGTCTACTGCTTTTGCAGTTTCCCTACCATGCAGGTAGAGATGTCTAGCAGACAACTGAAAATATAGCGCACAAGTGCTGGAGAGACACCAGGGCTAGAGATGCATTTGTGGACATTCTCTTTATTATTAATTTTTCATCAAAACTAATGTCTTTATGATGTTTAATGCTAGTGAACATCCTGTGCTCCTCTTCTGATGGTCCACTGAGTTTGTTTTAAAATTATAATAAACCATGGAGTCAGTGGCTTACAGGGCTATTTGTGTGTGCATTTGCTAAGCATGGAACACTGCATTGAGAAATGACTGGTGGCTGACAAAGCTGAGGCTCAGGCCTTAGAGATGGAGTCTTTGTTCTTCTCTTAACACATTTAAAAATTCAGAAGAGGAATTTCACATATTTTGTAAAATTAACTGGTACTCCATATGCAGCCTGCATTTGAAAGACAGACCTCTTTATGGAGCCAAGTCACAAGACACCTGGACAAGGGGCAGCCACCCTAGCGGGCAGGTGGGGGTGGGGGAACAGATGCACTAGGACAAAGGACAATACAGAGCCTGATTCGGGACTTCCCTAGGAAGGACTCTGCACTCAGCTGCCTTGGAGCCTCCTCTGAATTCCACCAACCCTTCCTTATCATTTCCTGCCTTGTTTTGTTTTTTGTTTTATTCACTCTTTTGACAGACTAGAAGTTTCTTAGGCTTAGGCAAATACATCATATCACACGCATTAAAATGCACCCATATCCAATATGTAATAACTTCATCTTGCTGTAATTTTTTGAAAGGATTTTGATAATTTTCAGTTTTTGTAAGAATAATTTATTTTGTTCATGTGGTTTAGACTTTATTATATTTATATATACTTATGTAAGAGTTGTGTTACAGCTGACTAGATTTTGCAGACGTTTCATTAAATATTTATTAACTTCGATTTTTCCAGTTTTTCTTCCTTATTTGGGGGCCATTATTTATTATTATTATTTTTTCAGGTCTCAAACGTTTTTTAAGGCCCTTGAAAAGCTCACAGGCCCTAGGGGCCATGACAGCACTGCAGGAATCCAGCCTTAGGTTCCTAAGAATTCCTCTCAGCCCCTCTCGCGCCAGGAGCTCTATTTGATGAATGAATGAAGAAATGAATGAACGAGTGAATGAATGAGGTGAATAAAATCTTTTTCCCAAGTGTTCTTTCCAAGGTCGGCTTTCTTCTCATTCTTGTGGTATCTCCAGCCCTGCTTGGAGATTGGGCAAGGAGGCCCCTCCCCCACGCTAACACCCAGACTGCGGCCTCAGAGGAAGGTGTCCGGCGCCCGGCCGTCTCCGGCAGGGTCAGCTTGGGACCCAAGGTCCGGACAGTGGCCGGATCGCTGACTACAGCCGGGGCCCTAGCAAAGCCCACGCGCACCCCTCCCCCGGCTCCCTTCCCCCACTGCAGGTGAGTCGCTCAGCAGCGGCTCCCGCCCCCCGCAGCCCCGGGGGTGACGTCAGGCCTCTGGACCGCGCTCTGCCCCGCCCCTGCAGGCAGAGCTGGGGGCCCGCGACTCGGCGGTGGAAGCCCGTTCCGCTGCGGGACCTGCCGGCTGCGACAAGCAGAAGCGGCGACCAGGCGCTCGAGTGTGCTGCAGCGGCGGCCCAACGCTAGGGCGAGGCACGTCCACTTGGAGCTGGGGACTCCCGCCGCGGCACACCTGCCCCACGGTCCTCAGAGCCCGGGCCGGCGCAGGGAGCCGGTCGCCGCAGAGTCCGCACCCGCTGCCTCGCGGGATCGCTGGGCGCCCTGCCAGACTCAGCTGTCCATCTCCGACTGAGCCAGCCAATCGCCCGCCACTGTCCCGGCCGCACCTCCCGGAATCTATGATGGGCGTGAGGGCCAACCTATGAGATTGGAGTCTCGATGGCCGGGGCTGGCAGTGGGAGCCAATGAGCATCATTCCAGGTGGGTGGAGGGAGCCGGCCTCGGGAAGGTAGCTTCGTTCGGGTTGCTAACGTCTTCCCTTGGAGATGGGCGCGCAAACGGACCAGTGGGTCTGGGGGCGGCGGTGATGGGCGTGGAGCTGGCCCAATGAGGGTGGGAGTGGGTGGAGCAGCCGCAAGCAGCAGTGCTAAAGGAGCCCGGCGGAGGCAGCGGTGGGTTTGGGACTGAGGCGCCGGATCTGTGGTCGCGGCTGGGGACGTGCGCCGGCGCCACCATCTTCGGCTGAAGGTGAGAGGTGCGGCTGCCGGGGTCCGAGTGGGCCGCCTGGGGCTGGGGGACGGTTTCTGGAAGGAGGGACAGAGCCCGGGCTGGGGCCACCGGGCGGCTCTGAGGGGCAGGAACGGAGCCGAAGCGGGAGCTTGGGAAGTCAGAGGGGGTTCTGGGCGGGAGGGTTCGTGCTGCAGAGACCTTGGGTTCGTGCGGGCAGGGTGCTGGGCGGGGGTCAACGGGACCCCCGTGGGTGGAAACGGAGAGACCCCTGGAAGGGCGGGGAAAGAGGTCCTTGAGAGTGAGACCCCTGCAGCGATCCGGGCCTGCATGTGCGGGAGGGCGACCCCTTGGGGGCTCGGGATGGAGATCTAGGGGTGGAGATGTGGGGACCAGGTCCTCGGTGTGTGGGATCCCTGGGGCCGCGGGGTCGGGGACGAGTGCCCTTGTAGGGGTCTCGGGGTGTTCCGCGAGTCTGAGTATGCCTCCCAGGATGGAAGGGGATTCTGGGGTGGGCTGGAAAGCGTGATCCCGTTGGGGGGGCGCTGGACAGGAAGGGCCCCTGGGCGAGTTAGGCCGGGCCGGGCCCGGGGCCCGGTGGAGGGGTCCGCCGAGGGCTTGGGGGCGGGTGGCGCGCGCCGGACCTGTGGGGTGGAGGGACGGGAGGGCATAGGCTCTGCGCGGCCGGAGGAGCGCGCGGCGGGCGAGGGGAGGGTCAGGCTCTCTTGGCGCTGGGGAAGGAGGCCGGGAGGGGGGCGATATGCAGCGCGCTCCGGGGACCGCCGGGGCCGGGGGTGGACGCCTGGCGAGGCCTGGGCGGTTTGAGGGGGCGAGGCGGGAAATGTCGCGGGGGCGCGCTGCTGCAGGGCGGCCGGGAGGAGGGTCAGCCCTCGCCCCGGGATCCCTTTATTGTGTAAGTGAGCTGGGAATGGCTCGCCGCAGTCTCTTCCTTGGCTTCTGCAGTTGGGGTCACACCCTGATCCTATAAAATCGGACTGGAATTGGGTCAGAGGGAAGTTGAAGCCGCGGAGTCCGGGCATTTGCGGGGGCTTTGTGGGCCTGTGGTGGGCGGATGCGGCCCCGGGACGCGGGAGGGCCCCAGCCAGGCCTGCCTGGGAACTAGGGCCTTGGGAAGGAGGTTGGCGACTCGGCGAGTCTGACCCGGGCTGGTGAGGTTTGGGTAACGTGGCCTCTGCCTACAACCGTTATCTCTGTTTCTTAGGGCCTCTGCAGCTCCCTTCAAGATCACTGCGGTGGATGGAAGGGGGTGGGGTGGGGTGGGGTGGGTTGGGGTGGGGTGGGGGAATAGCAGGCGGGGTGGATCCAGACTGCAGATGAAACAAAGACTGCTGTTTTCGCTGAATAATATAATACCAAATATAATACTTTGGCTTTGCTGAGATTTTGTTTTTTAACATTGAAACTGAGGATTCTTTGAGGCAGGTTTAATTATTCTTGATAGTATCTCACTCTGGAAAACTTTATAATCTATTTATTGTTTTATCTCCTTCATCAGTCTGCCTTTATTAATTATTCTCTTAGTCCCATGTTTTTGATGTTCAAGTATGCCCTGCCTGTCTGGGGTTCTGGAAAAGTGGCCATTTTATGCATCTCCTCACTTCTGCATCTTCAATTCAGTTCTTCCCCGTCCTTATCTGGATACAGCATATGGTGTAATTGTGCGATATAGCACGAACTTTGGCAGCAGAGGGATGTGACCCGGGAAAGCCTGGCTTTTTATTTGGGTTCCTTAGGGAAATCATTACAATGAAGACAGCCCGGATGGAAGGTGAGATGGAGGAAATTTTGAAGGGCATGTTGTAGGGTGGAAGACTATATGCTTCAACCATTTATGTACTTTGTTATCACATATGAGGAATTTTTTAATTCCTGGTGTTGAATCCAAGTTTTGAGAATATTTAATATAATAAAGATATTAATTGGGAGATGGGGCAGGCCATAAATAGCAATAGTAGCATTTTGCAGTTGGTTTGTGTTTGTGATCATCTGGTTAAGCACAATTTTGATAAGTTATCAGACTTGCCCAGTCCTGTAATGTAAGTGACCTCAGCGGTAGCATTACACAAATTGGGACTGTTCTGTTTTGTCTGTTAGAGAGTGATGCTCTGTCATGGATAAATTGTCCATCATTTTTGTTTGCTGTTTAATATGCAAGCTGTTGTTAAAATTCAGTTGTTCTCCTCCATCCACACCTACAGAAGGTGCTAGGAGGCAGGAAGTTTGCTGGGTGGCATTTCATTGAAAGTGAAAAATGTCCTAGGGGAGGAGCCCCAGGGGTGTATGTCAAACCACTGTAGGGGATGGGAACTTTGGCTCAGAAGGGGGCTAATTCATACACAGATAAATGATTTAATTATAATTAGGCAGTTATTTCAGATGATACCAATAATCCTCAGATTACATCTGCTACAAAGAGGTTCCTGTTTATTCCTTTTTCCCTAAGTACAGGAATTATTTTCTATCAAATATAAAGCCTTTACCAGATTGTGTTAACTGAACACAATCTTTAAGCCATAATTGGTAGGGTTTTTATTTAGTAGAGAGGTAGTATATAGTGCTCTACATGCCCTTCAAAACTTCCTCCGTCTCACCTTCCATCATTGTAGCATGTGCTCTGGACCTGAACTCTGGGTTCACTCCCAGCTCTGCTACTTGTTACCTGTGTGACTTGGGCCAGTTTTTGGCTTTCTCTGTACCTTAGATTCCTCATCTGTAAAATGAAGATATTAATAGTGCCTACCTCATAGTGCTGTTGTGAGGATTAAGTGTTGACATATGTAAACTGCTTAGAATAGTGTCTGGCCATAATTAGTGATGTATAACAATGGTATTTGCTATTTTAAAAATTGTATTGTCCTTTCAGCAAGACAAAGCATTTGGGAGTGGTACACTGTTAAACATCAGTATTCATATTGGGTACCAGATGTACAATGGAGTAAAAAATAATACAACATATTTGACAATCATAAGTGAAGAGTTAAACTGAATAAAACATCTTCACTGGCCTCACGAACTCACTGGCCTCACGAACTCTCTCAATTAAACAACAATATGAGCACCTACTACCTGCGAAGCCCTCTTGGTGCAAGGCAAGGCAGGGCAAGAAGAATGTCAGAACAATACAAAATGTTAGGAGAAGGAGAAGGATTAAATTGCCAGATTGACCTGAAAAGAACTTCTGAAAGGGTGGTATTTGGGTCAGGAGTTGAAGGAATAGTTGGTTTTTGGTTTTGGAGAAGTTGAGGCTCATATGAAGGTAGGGACTGCATGTAAATATTGACCAGTAGATACAGAACCCCTGTTATATACCTGGGACCAGACTAAGCGCTCGAGATATGGCAAGAAACAGCAGCTGTCTTTACCATGTCTAGCTGGAAAAGAATCTGAAAAAGTGAAAGTAAATTATAATCCTACTACCAAGTAAAGACCAGTGAATATATGTTTCATTTTTTTAAAATGTGTATATATATAATTTCCCCCCACAAAATCAGGAACTTGCTGTGATTATACTTTTGTGATCTACTGTTTTTTTTTAAAATATTAAATTACAAGCATTTTCCCACCTGGAAAAAGTACTGATAAATTTAAAATGTCCCAATTTGGGAAAATAATTTTTAAATATATAATCCACTTTTTCTAGACCTGCTCTAGAAATAACTTGTTATTTTAATTTATAGTTACCTACTAAATTTAAGCATATAATTACATGTCCAATGTAAAGTTAAAGAAATGTGCACATGCCTATTGGCAGCAAGACAGTTTCCTAAATGCTGTATAGGTTATACAGTTTATACTTAATAAGAATAGTAAGGGTAACTTATCATGTTTTTTTATAATTATTTATTTTCCCTTTTAATAGATAGACCCTGTCCTTCTGAAAGGTAGTGTGTGTATCCTATTATTTGTCCTTAAATTCACCTAGGATGTATCCTACCTCAGAGCCATGCCTCCTTTCTTCTTACCTGTGTGCAGTTTTTAAGTTGGGAAGAAAAGACTTGTTAGCAGTGTTATTAGACCAGTCCCTAGAGGTAATTGGCTTTTGAAACTGTTCTTCAGAATGTATGTGTGCCCGTGAATATTTTCTATATTGCCCTTTCCCAAGAGGATGCCTGAGAAGACAAATGCAAGTTTAGTTATAAAACCTGCTAACAGTTTTATTTGTAAAAGTCTTAATAACATTAATCACATTTTGTGATTTTTTTGTTTCATTTTGCAATTTTGGTTTTATCCAAGTTTATAACTTTTAAAACATCCACATATTCTTTAAACGTGTTATGAATTAGTTTAGAACATTGGTTTTCAACCTCTTTCTCTACCCTATACCTACTAGTAACAGTGGCTCACCATGGCAACCACAGAACCATTGAGCAGTGGTTGTCAGGTAAGGCCCAGGACCAGCAGCAACAGCAGCATCTGGGAACTTGTTAGTAATGCAAATTCTCAGGCTGTACCCCAGACCTACTGAATCAGAAACTCTGGGGATGGAGCCCAGCAATCTGTGTTTTAATAAACCTTCTAAGTGCAGCTGATGCATGCCAGAATTTGAGAACTGCTATTCTAGAGCTTGTTTAAAATTCATTACATTGTAACAAATAATTTCTGAAGCATCCTAGCTATTTGATTCTAGTAAATTATTATTAGAGGTTAAAGGGCTAGCATCTGTACCCATTATCAGTGCTTAATCTTTTAGCACACAGAGTCCTTGGAGAATCTAAAGAAAATTATGAGTGTCCTCCTTAGAAGAGCACACATGTGTGTCGTGTTACACACGCCAAGTGTACAACATTTTTATACCATGAGGGATTTCACGGAGCTCAAAATTTGTCTGTGGACTCAAGGTTAAGAACCTCTTAAGAACTTTGGACTACTTTTTGATTTCTCTTGAAGCCTACACGGGATACCTTGTATTTATCCTCTTGCCTGCAAAGAAACCCCAGCATTTTTGGCTGGGTGAGGTGGGATAGAGGAAGGAGAGAAGTTGGGGGGATTTGATAGAGCCAAGAGTAGGTATTCAGTTGGCTTCTTGTGTTGATTTGAATGAAGTCATGGAATCTGTGCCTGTGAAATTCCTAATAACCTAGAATTTATAGTGATAGTAAAAATGTGTAAGAGAGTATTGAATTCCAAAAGATACTGTCAGGCAGAAATGACCAGTCATATAAATCAGAAAGGTGAGTGACAAATGCAGAACCTTGTCATTTAATCTAAAAAGCCAATTGTACAAGTTTAAGAGGAGATATAGCTTAGCAGTTATATGTATGGAGCTTTCTCTAGTAGCCCCTTATGAGCCAACAGTAAATGAGTGCTAAATAAACCATTGAGTTCCTGAGATACATTAATTGTAAAAGTCACAGACAAGTGCTTTCCTCAGTGTAGCTAAGGTTGTTAACAGTTCCTTTTTCTTCTGCACTGTCAGACTGTATCTGGACTTTCATGTTTTGCTGGCCCACACACTCAGGAAGGCATAAGCACAGTGGAGTCTGTTTATAGGTGACAGATCAGGGTGGAGAATGAGTCTTAAGGAATGATGGAATGCTGATGAGACCAGGTAAGAGCAGATGTAGCGTGGGAGTGGAGGCCTGAATAGCTACCACCCTGTCCTCAGGATGCTGTTGTGTGGAGCTAAGTTACACTCGTCTTTTGTGGCCCATTTGATTGCATTAAGAACCCATGAGGCCATAGAGAAGCTTGTAGGGGGATTGATTTAAGGTATTCATCAGAAGAACTTTGAGTCTGTTGTCTGAGGGTAGGATGGGAGGCATGTTTTAGACCTGATTCTTTACTCTCCTGGCAATCATGTGGTTTTATAGCTTTATCCTGGTGGTCACACTAATTCTGATACCACTTCAAGGACCTTTCATTATGCATCTTTGTTTTGTTTTTCTTCTTTCTTCTTTCCCTTCTTAACTCCCCGTTTAATTTGTGGTGAGGGTAAAAGGGAAGATTAAGAGAAAAAAAGGTCAACCTAGAACTTTACTTTTTTCTTTGGCCTGTTTTTCAGCCCCTTAGTAACTGAGGGCAAATCTTGAGTGGTCATCAGACAGCCAGAGTCATAATTTGTGGTCAGTCCCAAAATTTATCTTGGAAACTTGGTTAGTATGGTTATAAAGAGGAATACCCCAACTCCTTCACCCAGAGTTTATGCTTTATATTTACCAAAGGTTTCAAGTTTCTTAGAAAACTAAAAATTGTAAATTATTTTGTATTTCTTAAACATCTAACTTTGCCTTCCTCCACTTCTCTTAGAGGCGATTGCTCGTGGATCCTTCTGTTTACAATGGCGCAGAGAACTGGACTTGAGGATCCAGAGAGGTATCTCTTCGTGGACAGGGCTGTCATCTACAACCCTGCCACTCAAGCTGATTGGACAGCTAAAAAGCTAGTGTGGATTCCATCAGAACGCCATGGTTTTGAGGCAGCTAGTATCAAAGAAGAACGGGGAGATGAAGTTATGGTGGAATTGGCGGAGAATGGAAAGAAAGCAATGGTCAACAAAGATGATATTCAGAAGATGAACCCACCTAAGTTTTCAAAGGTGGAGGATATGGCAGAATTGACGTGCTTGAATGAAGCTTCTGTTTTACATAATCTGAAGGATCGCTACTATTCAGGACTTATCTATGTAAGTATTTTTTCCACATAATCATGTGAATTGGCGACTGGCAATTAATGTAAATTGTACATCTTGTCGTAATCAAATGAGAATGTGGAATACCCATGCCGTCTGTGTAACGTTACTGTTTCTATCAAAGATAGAAGGATTGTCACTTGTTTACCCAAATCTTGGTTTACTTTAAATCTTCACATGTTAAGTGTAAATCATCCATTCTACAATGAAATATAACAAAGTGGTTTTTGAAGTAGTGGTCTGGAGTATAATAAGGTGAGAGAGAGCATGTGGCAGAAAGACAGACAAGGGGCTTTAATAAGGTAGTGAGAGTTGCATTAATAGGAGAATATGTACAGCTAAATGGTATATAGTCAAGTGTGTATCCAGGAGTATAAAGTGGAGAGGCTGCAAGCATAGAGGTTTCAGTGAAGAGAAAGAACAGCTTCGTTGGGTATAGGGAATTAGGAAGGATGAATGCTGAGGTTTTTAAGAGGAAACAGTTCAGGGTGAGATTGAGGCTAGGGTTGTCCTGTGGTAGCTCCTGACATGTGTGTTACAGTCACCATGTCACTGACCATATAGAAGTTACTGACAGTAATGCAAGCCAAGATACTAAAAGAAAATCTGAAATGACGAGATAGGTTTGAAGGGTTGGTGGAGGTGGCAGTGATTTTGAGGAATGTAGCATACATAGGACTTAGAATAAAGAGAAGTAGGGAGAAAAGTTGACAGAGTTTGAAATTAGAAAAGGGTGGTTGAATTTTATGCAAGGAGTATGCTACTGAAGCTCATGAGTAATTCAATACTAGTTTCCTACTAGAAATAGTTTATTTAAGGAATATTTATCAAGCACCTATTGTGGTCTAGGTGCTGGGGATACTGTGGTGGATAAAACAGGCCAGGTCCCTGCCTTCATGAAATGGCCTATGAGGAAGTGAGACAGGACTGTGGGGTAGAGTGAGCAGGAGACCAGGTGTGGAAGCTGGAGTCTGACTGGTGGGAGGGAGCTAGCCATGGGAAAAGCTGGGAAAAGAATAATTCACTCATGATCTTTGTTGGAGTAGTTTCAGTCAAGCTCGATGAATCGCCCCCATTTTTTTTTTTCTTTGAAATAGGATGCAAAGGAGGAGAGCGAGAGGCAGCAGGGCTGGGAAGATGGTTTGAGGGGAATGGAAAAGGCTTGGGAAGAGAAGCCAAAGTTAATAAAACGACAGGAGAGTGGCATTGAGAATCTAACTGGCTTAGTATAAATGGGGCAAAGCTCTCCCCAATTTTAGATCTTCTCAAACTGTCTAGTTTTTTAATGTCAAAAACAGAAGAAAATAAAAATAACACTCATCCACTGTCACTTAACAAAAGAGAGAGAGACTTCAGCTGAGATTGAATAACCTTGTGTAAGATGACTGCATTTTTGTCTGGTTGTGTGATTGCTCCAGGTCTGTACTGTTAGGGGAACTTTGGCTCTCCATTGCTGCTACAGGTCATTCCCTACTTGTCTTTGGAGTCCTGGTTTGGTAGGAGTGGAAGTCTGGGCAGGAAGGGGCTGATGTATCAAGGGCTGGGGTATCTAATGATGTGGAAGAACAGAGTTAATGGGGGTGAGGGAGTGAAGAAACTAGAAAATTAAAAGGTTGTGGTCAGGGCTGGGCACAGTGGCTCATGCCTATAATCCTAGCACTATGAGAGGCTGAGGCAGGAGGATTGCTTGAGGTCAGGAGTTCGAGAACCAGCCTGAGCAAGAGAGAGACCCGTCTCTACAAAAAATAGAAAAATTAGCCAGGTACGCTGGCACAGGCCTATATTCCCAGCTACTCCGGAGGCTGAAGCAGGAGAATGGCTTGAGCCCAGGATTTTGAGGTTGCAGGTGAGCTATAATGACACCACTACACTCTAGCCTGGGTGATAGGGTGAGACCCCTTCTCGGGTGTGTGGGGGGGATGGTTGTGGTCAGATAGTAACATCAACATCTAAGATTTGAGAGGTGGGTCAGTTTGAATGAAGGGCTAGAAATGCGATGGCACCACAGGAAAACCATGGAGAACTACAGGCTGACAAGGAACTAGGCTGGGTTTCTGCCAAAGCCTTCACGTTGGTCCCCAGCTTTAGACCTTGTAGGTAGCTGCAAACAGGAGAGAGGGGCGAGATAAATAGAAAAGGGAAGGAGACTGCGGTTGTAAAAGGAAAGGAATGAAGGAAAGGACAGTCCATTTTATTTGTAGACATTCCTCATAATTTGGAGATTTTGCAGGTAATTTTTACTGAGTTTGATTTTTTTTTTCCAACTTAGGGACAATCTGAGTGAATTTCTGAATTAGTTTCTTTTCAAAGCACAGCCTCCTTGATCTTTATAGAAGACAAATCTGAGTTTTTCTCAAAGTATTAAGGTCACAACAGAGGTGGGGAGTTTGGGAGATTGTGTCTTCAATTAGTTGGTGAAAAGAAAGCGTTCTTACCTAAGATTCTAGTTGAAGCACTGAGCCACAATTAATTGTCAGCATTGTGATGAATTTGCATTGGTCTTTGGAATTAACTTGTCAGTTGAGATTGATTGATAGAGGTGCCTTGATATAGATGATATAATAACTTGGGTAGGACCTTTTGGAACATATTGCTATAGATAAGATATAGTGTAAATTCATTTAAACAAATTAGGTTGCTAACAGGTTTAATTATGTTCTTATATTTTCTTTGGATTTATTCTCTCTGACCTCCAAATTCTCAGGTCATTAATTTTCATCTTTTTTAATACAACCACATAAAACTGTAAATATCTCTAATCCTGTTTTAGCTCACCTCACTGAATTTTTATTATTCAGTACTAAATATTTTCCAATTTCTATTATAATTTCTTCTTTAACAGTGAACCATTTAAAAGTGTACTTTTAAAATTTCCAAATGTTGGTTTTTAAAAGTTCTTGTTATTATTGATTTTTAATATAATTGCATTGCAGTCAAAGGAGATTGTTCATATGATATCATTCCTTGTTTTTGTTGAAACTTGCTTGGTGTAATATATTGTCAGTTTTTATGAGTATTCTAAATGTGTTTGCGAATGTGTATTGTGTTGGGCGTAAGGTTCTATATATGGCCATTAGATTAAGCTTTTGTGTTTGTTTAAATCTTCTATAGCTTTGCTAATTTTTGTCAGCTTGATTTATCAATTACTGAGAGAAGTGTGTTAAAATATCCCAATGTGTTTTATCAACTAAGTATGCATCCATAAACAATATAGTTTAGTTTTGCCTGTTTTTGAATTTTTATATAAATTAATCTTAGTGTATAGCCTTTGTGTCTGTTTTTTGTGTGTTTTTTGGGGGTTTTTTTGCTCTGGATTATATTTTTAAGATTCATCCACATTGTTGTTTTGTGTTGCTATAATTCGGTAGTTCTCAAAGTGTTGTGGTCAGTGGACCCCTGTGGTTTCCCAAGACCCTCTCAGGGAATCGGAAAGATCAAAACTATTTTCATAATAATATGAAGATGTTATTTGCCCTTTCACCATTGACATTTGTACTGAGGGTACAAAGCAATTATGGATAAAACTTCTGATACCTTATCTTGAGTAAAGGTAGTGACCTCAGATTGTACCAGTAATGACATTATTCTTCACAGCCATTTATCGGCAGTTTAAAAGATTGAGTTTCACTCAAGAATGTTCTTGATAAAGCAGGAAAAATGATTGATTTTATTAAATCTCAACCCTTGAGAGCACGTCTTTTTAATATTCTGTGTGATGAAATGTTAAGTATGCACAAAGCACTTCTGTATGTGGATATATGATGGTTACCTTGAGGAAGAGCAAGTGTTTAGTTATTTGAGTTGCAAGCTAAACTTGTTGCTTTTTTAATAGAACACTATTTTCATTTGATAGAATGATAGATAAACTATGATTACTCACACGGAAGTATTTGGCTGACATTTTCTTGAAAATTAACAATGCGAGCTTGTCACTTCAAAGAAAACAACTGACTGCATTTGTTGCCAATGATAAAATTTTAGTTTTTAACGTGAAAATTAGAATTTTAGGAAACTTGTATCTACCACCATGAACTTGACAGCATGTCAGTACTTTATGATAGATGGTGATAATAATGCAAATGTTTTGTTTGGGGGTTTTTTGATGTCCTATAGTGAAATGTCATCATTTGAAAGATTTAAATAACTTAGTGAGCCAATGTTTTCCAAATGATATATGCATGATGTTACAAAAACATGCACAGGGGAAAGATTCATTCAACATGCAAGATAAGCCAATGGATTTTGATAAAACAATATGAGGAGTTCACTGGTAGGGTTTCAGATGCCACAATGCATGTAATCTTTAAAAAACTATCAATTATTAAGTTTTGGTAGTCTCAAAAGGGGAATATCCACAGTTAGCTGAACAGGTTGTTAAACTGTTCCTCTCTTTTCCAACTAGATGTCTGCGTAAGACTGATTTTCTTTATGTGCTGCAACCAAAACAACATATCACAGTAGACTGAATGCAGAAACAGACATGCAGATTGAAATGTTTTCTATTAAGCCAAATAATAAGAGTTTTGCAAAAATATAAAACAGTGCCACTCCTTACTTTTGTTTTGGAAAACAAAAAGTTATTTTTTTGTAAGAAATGTTATTTATGCTAACATGTATTATTGTTCTAAATGAATAAATGAACATTTTAAAAACTCTATATATTTTATATAAAACAAAATGTTTTGGGGTCCTTAATAGTTTCTAAGAGTGTAAAAGGGCCCTGAAATTTTAAAAAGTTTGAGTAGTTTATTCATTTTTCTTGGAATGCAGTATTATAAAATTTTTGACCCAATGAATGTAACTACTCAGCTGTTTTTGTATGTTGTCTTTTTTGGAACTATTATGAACATTGCTTCAATGAATGGCCCCGTACATGTACCTGGTGCATATAAGCATGGCTTTCTATAAAGTGTATAACTAGGAGTACAATTCCTGGGTGATAGGCCATGCATATCTGTAACTTATTTCTTCAGCTTTTCTAGATAATTCCCGAT